CTGTCCTACAGGACGTGCCTCAGTTCCTTCTCCCCAGTTTATGATAAGCATATAATATTTTTGCAAGCTTTACAAACTTGTTCTGTGCAATGCCCAAGCAGCCACAAAACATTTGAGAGGCTGGGAAAATAGAAATGCTTTGAGGATGGCTCATTTGTAATTGTCACAGAGAACTGTGAGGATTCTTCCTTTTGTCAGATTTTTGTTTTTCCAGAAGCCTGATTTAAAGAGCTGTTTAAGAATATGCTTATGTTGGAGCACATTCATAGCCTGGGGAAGCTGGTGGAGTTGTGCATTACCAGCAGGCACATGTTTCAGTCCCTAGTAGGCAGGACCTTGGTCTGTGAGGGTCACTTCCTCACTCTGAAGGGTTGGCAAGGGCACCCAGCACTTTTGTAATACTTCTTTCACCCATTAGCTGGCTAGGTAGCAACATCTAAAACAGCTGATTGGTGACAGCTAAATATGTTTGTGTGGCGGGGCCCAGCTCTGAGCCTACCAGTGCTGTCTATGGTGGCTTTACTCTCTGTTCCTGACAGTACCGGTGGAGAGGTGGGACTCATCTCACCCAGCTTCAGACACCTACGCTAGAGACATCTACTTCTGAGCTTGTCGCCCCAGACTGTTTAGAGCTGGTGGAAAGAAACAAGCACTTGGAGAGGGTGATTCATCTGGCTTGTTTTAATCGTCTACTTTAGGAGGAGATAAATCGTGCTATGGAAATGTCTTTTTTCTGTCTACTAACTATGCAGAAAGTGTAAATGACTGTCTCAGATACACAAGTCGGCACAACAGATGTCTCAAACTGAGCAGATGAATGCCACCCTTGGTTTTTATCAGTATCACATTTTTAACATATACAGTGAGGTACGGTATGGTCCTATGATAAGCCTTTAACTGGCTAGCTGTGCACAGGAGTCATATGCTTTAAAGCCCTTCTGAAGTGGTCTGGACAGGCTATTTAAAGGCGTTACCACTGCTGATGTAGATTTTCTCTAACCTACTGCAAGCATCTGTAGTCAATAAGAAAAGGCACATCATGTAAGGCATCTACCTTCCATGGGGTGTGTAGTGCCTTCCAGTGCCTTTTTTCCTCCATGGCCTCAGCTGGGAGAGGGGGTGAGTAGCTCAGGTTTAGATGTCCCTACCACAGGTATCTGAAGTTAGCTGAGAGGGGTCTCACCCATAATGGAGGAAACAGAAGGATGGCTGTTTTCTGGGGTTGGGGAACCCTGTGAGTAATGGCATTGGCAGTAGCATTGGAGGTGATTTCCTTCCATTGTTTCTGAATGCCATAGGAGAGAGGTTGGCTGAAAGGGAGGGAGGAAGAGTGGTTCCAGTTGGGATTTATGAAACAGGAAAATGAATGAACAAAAGGGAGAATGAAAAGCCAAAATTAGTAAAAGCAAGATAGGCATTTTTCCTCTATCTCAGCATCTTCATTTACTCTTTTGGGGGACACAGTAGCATACAGAGCAGTCTGCTGCAAGGAGTAAAGGAAGAAACCCATTAAAAGTCTGGAGGAGGATTTCCAGAAATAAAATTCTTTAGAGTCCTGCCTCATCCATTCTGAGAAGCCATTTTGCCATCTTTAAATTCATGTATATTCTGTTGCGAGCTGGCCCTTGAGCAGTGCTGGAAAGAGAGTGAGGATCTTCTCATCCGTGTATGGGTTTGATGTCACCCTATCTGTGCACCTGCAACTTGGGTGACAAAAACTATCCCCATGGGGACACAGGGACTGGGCAGGGAAAGGTACAGCTCTGGGTGTTTATCATGCTAGCTGGCAGGCAAGTTTTCAACGTGGTAGGTGGGAGGATGGGACAACATGGATCCCATTTCCAAAGACAGTCTGGTTTGGGGCAGATTACATGCTAGGTATCCTCTAGGACAGTGCCGAATCCACTGGAAGAGCCTATGCCCATTTGGCACCTAGCCCTCTGGCAACACAGGCAGTCATGACGGCTTGGTGCAGTTTCACTGATGGATAGTAAAGTCTCAGCTCGTAACTGCTAATCAGCAGGTCAGTGATTTTTACCCCAAATTAGGGGGCCCATTATGTTGAAATACATCATGCCTAGGATAAGTTTTTAATCCATCCAGCATGTAAATGCATCCAAAGAATGAGCACCCCTAGAAACGTAAGCCTCGAGCTGCAAGATCACTTTAGAAGTGATACATGCAGTATTGTCTTTTGCTGAAAGTGAATGTTTCTGTTGGTGCATTTAACACAAAATTAAATGTATGTGGACAAATCATTTTGCCTATGGAGCAGAGGAAACATCAGTGAAATTTAGCTTTAATTTGTAGGGAGTAATTGCCATGGAATAGAGTTAAAAGGCAGTGATGCTCATGCAAGCTGTCCAAATGAGCCACTGACTCATGCTTATGTGCACAGTGCTATGGAGAGGAGGGTGGGCAGCTTCAGCCCTTGGTGGGGAGAAGTTCCCCACCAGTGTCTGTTGTAGGGTGTCCATCAAACACTGCATTATTTTAGATTGAGTGTCTGGTGCATCATATGGTATAGCTGTGATCTTCTCCCTTTTCCATGATTGCCAAGACTACTGGGCCAGAGGGCCAGACATGTTATCTTGCTGTCTCAGTGACCAATTCTTATTTTAGAAAAAATAACACAGCTTCAGTATTGTCATTCAGAGCACCTACTCATCTTGGGATATCATATACCCTAGTGGCTTAAGGCATGTTCTATATTAAATATCTTCAGCAGGAGGGGTTTACATCCTGGTTTCCTGCTTCCTGGGGGAATACCTGCAGAGAAGAGAGGGATGGTGGGTACCCTGCTAGCTGTTTTCTAGAAGGACAAACATTTTTGCTTACCTCTCCACATAGTTGCAGGGTTGCAAACTGTGAGTGGAGGAAGGCCCTTCCCTGCATTGACATGGTAACACAAACAGCTCCTAAGCTTCTGCTTGGCACCCTGGCTGCCTAGATTCATATTTTTCTGTGCTCAGCTCCCCCTGTGGTCCATGGGAAGGATGCTGGAGTGCGTTAAGGTGAGTTACATTTTTGATGTTGCAAGGATAACACCCAGTAGGAAAACTTGAAATGAAATGAAAAATTCAGTAACATTGAGGGACTTGTATGGTGGACAGCAAAGAGAGCGCTGGCAACTGCCCATTAAGTGGTGAAGTGAAAAGAAATGAATGTACCATTGTTCAGTAAACTGAACCCTGACTGATCTATGCAGCAAGAAGCACTAGTTTCAAGCAATGTATTACAAAGAAAATGTATTAAAATTATTTTAAATGAGCTATGGGTTCACAGGCAGACCTTTTCAATTCTGGCTTCTTCTAACATTTAGCAGGTAGCTTGTAACCTTTCCATTATGTGTTTAATACAAATCCACTTTGGATAATTCATTGGCCTGCTGGTGCATCTTCTGTTATGTGGGAAGCTGCCCACGCAATCTTCTACTGGAAACTGAAATAAGTGGAGAGATCAGCAACATCCCCATCTCTCTTAAAGACTCGAAAAGACTAAATGTTTATACCTTTGCTGCTGTACACTCTTTTTAGGTTTCAAGTTATCAGAGGCCACAGTTTTTCCCATTACAAAATACAGCTTTACTAGGCAAAATAATGGCACTCTTAGCTCAGATCATGCATTCCTTATCTGTAAAGAAATAATTAAATAGTTCTCTCCATCGGAATAAACTTTTTCTTTACTAATGTATTAGCTCATGTAAATACAGATTTAGGTTAACCTGAAATAAGAGGCTTTAAGAGATTTTCCATTCCAAATACTGATTTTCACCAGGATAAGGAAGGATTTTTTGTACATGTATCTCTTAGTCTGCCTTAAATGCATATAAATGTTTGGCAATAATACAGTCTCTCATTGTCCTGGCTGTACTTATATTTCTCCTTTCACCTTTCAGTGACATGTAGTGACCTCTGGACACTTCTGAAGTTGTAGGTTCCTGGCTTTCAACATGAGTTACTACTTCATCCTCCTCCAAGTAAATGGACCAACTAAACTGAAGTCAGTCTTTAACAGAAATCACTGCTGAGTGTTGCATGCAGGTGACCAGTGGCTTTAGCGGATGTTAAATGGGGTGAATTTAAGGAAGGCAGGTGAAAACCCCAAAGGCAGTGGCCTGCTGCTGAGATCTGCCAGCATGTTTTTATCTCCATAGTTACTGGACCACCTAAGGTCACTTTGCTCATTTATTCACAAGCTGGATACAGTATCTTCTAATACTGGTATGATAGCAGGGCTATAACAATTCATGTTTAAGGGGCAAGGTTTTTTAGGAAAGAAATTTCCAGCAGCATGATAGTCTCAGTCATACTGAGTCAAAGTTCCAGTCCAGTCTCATTTGGTGCAGGACTCAAGCTAAAAAAAGTTAGGGCTGCCTAGTCTGAGATGCTCTTCAGGGCCACCTGTGGGTCGGTCTAATTTTTGCCATCTGGCTACAGCCTCAGGAGAGCTGTTTTTCTAGGGATCACTGAAATACCTGATGATCCAAGTTTAGTATTAATTATGCTACTTACATTGCGGTGATCATGCTTAACTGCAAGATTAAATACATTTGCCCCCTCCTCCTTTTAAGAAACACCATATTCCATAAGCCGCCCATTTTCACATTTTCCAAGACAACAATTCTAAGTGGTGTTGTAATCCCCTTTGCTGCTTTATTAAACTCAGCGCTGTATTTTTCATTCATTTACACATCCTAACAGCATCAGTTTAAGTGGTGTGTTAAGCCTTTCTGTGTGCATCAGAGCAACATGTAATTTTCATTTCCATTTTACCCAGTGGCTTCTAAATCTAGAGGTGATAATTATTATTTGCATTGTAATTATGCTTCATTTGAACCAGAGGCTTTGCAATGATCTAAAAACGAAGGACGTTTTGTGGCAAGATCTGGTGGGTTCTTTTGCTGGTAAAGCTCCATGTGACTTCAGAAGGGCCTAGGATTTGCAGACTAAAATGCAGGCTGGCTTTCCTTAGTAAGCCTTGTGTTTTCTTCTCCCCAGGGGATGAGCGCTCCCGGGAGTCTCCAGCCCCAGCCGAAGCACAGATGCAAGCTGGGGCGGAAGGTGGTGGAAGGGTGAACCGCTGTTGCTGGAAATGCTCCGTGACGCAACTCAAGAAGATCTTCTGGGGTGTGGCTGTGGTTCTGGGTGTCTGCTCCTCTTGGTCGGGTTCAACCCAGCTAGCAAAACTGACTTTTAAGAAATTTGATGCACCCTTCACTCTAACGTGGTTTGCAACAAACTGGAACTTTTTATTCTTTCCTTTGTATTATCTTGGACATGTTTTTAAGTCAGCTGAAAAGCAGTCTCCAAAGCAAAGATACAGGTATGGGAGCTTTTGTTTTTATTCCTGTGGCTCTTGCATGCTGCTCTATGTCTAGCGGATATTTTATTCAAATCAGTCAGTTATATCAAACTTGCTTTTGCTTTCCTCTCCAGGTTTGTTAAAGGATATTCTGAATTCATTGTGTGTCCTGTGCTAGATGCTATGTTATTATTCTTAATACAATTTCACTCCAACAGTGAGAAATCCCTGTTTATTTCCAATACATACAGGTCTGCATTTTCTGCAATTGCTTCTCAGAAGTTTTCTCTTCAAACTTCTGCGAACATAATTTTTTTATTAATATTTTCTTCCTCTACCCACAGCTGACTTTTATGGCAATCTCTGAGTAAGCTAAGTAAAGTTTTCTTTTCCAAACTCAGGACTAGTGCAGTGCCTTGAATAGCCAAGTAAAAAGTATTGCAGTATTTTCCTGACATTATGCCCCTGATATCAAACGCCAATCTCTGATCCTGATTAAACTTGAGCTGTTGTGTTCCTCTTTGGGAGGAAGCACAGTCATAACCAAAGGCAACACTTTGTCTTCAGCACACCTTGCCTTTACAGCAAGCTGAACGCACAAAACTTGAAGCACTTATGGAAAGCCCTGAACGCCCATCCTCCATGAGGGGCTGAGTATGCTCTGTCTTCTTGAAGGACTGCTTCTTGGTGAGCACTCCTTCATCTCATCTCTTCTTGGCCTGAGAAGTGTCTGGGACAGATAGAATGACTGAACCATCAAGATGACCCATGTCAGAGTTCCCCCAGTATATGGAAGGATGTGAACAATGTTTTCCCCTTCTGTTACACGGTGTCACAGCCTTCTATTGAAGTAGCTCAAGAAGTAAACAGTAAAGAAGTACATATTTCTCAGCTTCCAGCTGTGCAGCAGTGAGTTGGAAACTTATTACAGGGAAAATCTAAGAAACCAGGGTACTCGGGAATGCTCTACCTGAGATGACTAGACTTAAGATTTTAAATGCTGAAATTTTGCTGCTTAGCCATTGTTACAGTTTCTTCATCTTCTGAATCATCAGGGGCTGCAGATAAGGGAATTTTACTGTTCACTGCAGGTCCTAGAGCAGTATCTAGAAGTTTTAAAGGCATTTTCATAAGATGCCATGTTTCTTCCACTTCAGTCTTCAGTTTTGTATTTGTTGTTTACTCCACAGCAAACATGGTTGCCTCAGAGATGAGAGAAGCATTAAAGAAAGCAACAATTTATTCTAAAAACAATAACAAATACTAGTCCAAAACAACTACCTTCTCATTTCTTTTGGTTTTTAAGTATTTTTCTTTCCAGCTGCTCTCAGATAACATTTTAAATACTGCTGAATTCTGGGGTGAGTGGTTGTGGTTTGCCAGATCCCTGGGGTTAAAACCAGAGCATTATACTATTTGTTGCTGCAGTTAATTGATATGGTTAGTAGTTTTATGTCTTCATTTAATTAAATGATGGCTGAGTTGAAGAGCAGGTGCAGCCTGTTTGGGATGCAGGGGGACATCATTACAAGTAAACTTACAACAGGCTTAGTAAAGGATGTGCATTTGTGTATCTGACCAGCAGATTGAATAGGGTTAATTTAAAGAGGTTTTTCTTGGTGTCAGGGTGCCTGACCTGGGTGTTTGATTCCTAGCTTTGCTGCAGATTTGTTTTGTGGTTTTGAGCACATCACTACAGACATCTGAGTTCTTTGTATTCTCTGCTCATTTGGATGAGACTCCTCTAGGGAGGAGGGAGGACTGTTCCTTACCATGTGTTCACACATAGCATGTCCACTATCTAAACTGAGACCTTTCAGTGGTGCTGCACTAAGAATTACTGTAAGAAGAATTACTGTAAGAAGAATTACTGTTTGTCTGCTTGCTGCAGCTGAGATGTCACATGCATGTATATCAGAAAACGCAAGCATTGCATTCCAGCATCCCCTCTTAATTATTTCCCTCTTTGCATATTTTATATATATGCATATATATAAAGACATATAAAGAGACTTTGCAACTCTATATGAGGTATTACGATCTTCAGGAAAGCTTGCACTCCAGGCATAGTTGGACATGTTAGGGAGGGATTTCATGGACTTCTGGATAGTTAAAATAAGACAATTCTCACCTGGAACTAATAAGAAACTTGCATAATCACTTTTTGCTTTTTCTATGCACCTTCATCTATATTTTATATATTATCTGAGCTCTCTGTCAGGAATTTGCATGAAATGAAATGAAATGAAATGAAAAAGTGGTAGTGGGAGAAGGTGGAAATATGACATCTAAGTCACCTTAGCAATGAGGTAGTAAAGGAAGGGATTCTCAGATCTTGCCCACACAGGTTGCTAAAATCCACAGGCACCTAATGTTTTTTGACAGCCAAGCTCCCCAAGGACACCTGCGCAGCCGCCTCCTCCTCAGCAAGGCTGGGCAGCTCAGCCCTCCCTCACCGCGACACAGGCAGTGCCTTCACACCGCCCCTTCCTCAGTGGGTGGCTTGGCGGGGCGAAACAGCAGGCGTGCTTTGGGCTACCTCGTTATGCAGCTAAAGAGCATGTAAAGAACAGCAACCATTAGGAAAAATATACAAAAGGAGGATCATAAAATGTAGCAACAGTGAATAGATGTGGCCCTCCCACACAGACTATATGGTTTATTATGGTTTTTATGCCTGTTGGATTCTACCAGCACTTATATGTACTGTGCTGTAAATACATGAATTTGTATGTTCTATAGTTTCACAGAAGAACGTGGACACAAGCCAGTTTAAAGCTGCACAGATTTTTTTTCCCACTTTATAGCACATATTTTACAATGGCATGTAGTGATACGACAAGGGGTAATGGCTTTAAACTGAAAGAGGGCAAATTTAGATTAGATATAAGGAAGCAATTCTTCACTGCGGGGGTGGTGAGGCACTGGCACAGGTTGCCCAGAGAAGCTGTGGCTGCCCCCTCCCTGGCAGTGTTCAGGCCAGGCTGGACGGGGCTTTGAGCAACCTGGTCTAGTGGAAGGTGTCCCTGCCCATGGCAGGGGGGGTGGAACTAGATGATCCTTAAGATCCCTTCCAGCCCAAACCATTCCATGATTCTATGATTCTATTATATAATTGTAATAAATCTGCTACCAAATTTTGTAGTAGCACATTAAATTTAAGAGCAGGTTTATTCAGTTTCTTTATAAGATTGGGAGTATTAGACCATAATGTAGAGTATTAAGGATTTCTGCTTGACCCATATTGCATGGTAAGGAACTTTCTGTTTAAGCTGAAGTAGACTATGAGTTGTATCCACAGCATGGAGAGAGAGTCACTCTTCAAAGCAAACCAAGCTCATGCATTCACATCCAGACTGCTCCAGGCGACCTGTGCAGCTCCATCAAATGGCAGAGTTGGGCCCAAGTGCAGATTGTTCAGGGAGAACTTGTCCCATGGTCACTACCACTGGTGCCATGCATCCTTGGCACAGGACTGCATGCATGGGGAGTGACGCACAGAGCCCTGGCAGGCCACAGAGGAGCATGCCAGGGTTAGTGCTGCTCTCTTACTTCTTGTGCAAGTACCCACTAGCTTAAAATAAAATTACAGTAACTAAATTATAATTCATTTCAACCATTGTCCAGTACAGAAATAACACATGTAATGATTTATGCACCTAATGGATCATTTAAGAGTACTTCATTTTGGCTTCATACTTTTTGCTTCCAAACTGCTTTATAAAATGACACGTTTAATCAGATGAGCTACCCTCTGTCATACCTACATTATTAATTTATGAGGTAACATAAATTAAAAGCACTAGAGCTTAAAACTCCCTGGCTACCTGAAAGATTAAATTAAAATCTCTGTAATATATTGCTTAGCTTTGTGTATCTCTAGGCAGGACAAAACACACTTTTCATCAAGATTCACTCTGTGTGCCACTGGGGGAATAACAGGGTTGTATTCATATTTTAGGAGAAGAATACCTCAGAAAGCTTGTTTATTTTCATGGTACAGTCTTACCCAAAAATTTTTCAAGAAGGAAAGGACAGGACTTTCCAAAATGGTTTGCAGGATTATTTATTTATTTGTTTCTCATTTAGATCTTGATTTTTATTTCATAAAGCATTAGGGCTAAAGCAAACACCAGAAGCTAAAACTAAATCTCTTCGACAGCCTTGAATGCACCTGCTGTATTGGGTGGATGAAAGAATCATCACACCTACCTGCACTGATCTGCAAACATATTTTAACGTGTTCTTTTTCACTGAATCAGAGTTTTGTCTTTATACTACCACCAAATTAGTTGCCACTAATCTTTCAGAATTTGAAGATTTTTCTTTGAAAAGAAAGAAGTTGCAGGTGACACTGAAGTATAGTTATTTCTTTGAAACTGAACCAAAATACTGGGGACAACAGTGGTAGACAACTAATGTAGTAGATCTCACTTACTCTGGTTTACCAACATAGTAACTTCACAAGAGCCACTTTTGATTTATATGCATATGGGCTCAGAATCGAGTATTAGCTCTTCAGTGGTCAGAAATTGTCAGTGCCACAGCTTCACATGATGTGCAGGAGAATGTGGGCCAATTTCTAAATGTGTTTCACATGTATTTCTTCTGGCATGGAGGAGACAAGGCACTAGCCCAATATCCCCAGTACTTCCAGGAGTTGGGTCCATTAGTTTGATCCTGACTCATATGGAAGTGCAACTCACTGCACCATGGGCACTGCTCTCCTCTTCTGCATCAGGCAGGGAACCCAGCCACACAGCACTGCCAACCAACTAACTGCCTGGCCACGATGAAACTCTAAGGGAGAAGAAGGTCAGAGCTTGTTTTGGCGTGACTGGATGCTTTTTTACTATTGATTTTCAGCATTTTCTATTCATGAGTCTCTCTTACCCAGCAGCATTAAAATGTTGCAATGTGGTTGACTTTTGGCATCCTACTGATTTATATTACTACTTAGTTGGGAGCTTCACCACCAGAGCAGACAGCATTAACAGAGTCATAAATAAACTACAAAGGCA